CGATTTAAATTTTTTAAACTTTTTAAATTTTCGGAGGCTCCGAAAAATTTAAATTCCAAAAATATAAATCGAACTCTATATATTTTTCAAACTTTATAAATTTTTCAAGGCTCCGAAAATTTTGTTAATATTTTTTGAAAATTTTAATCGCAATCTTTTATTTTTTAAAAATTTTAAAAAATTTTTCGGAGCCTCCGAAAATTTCAAAATTTTAAAAATTTAAATCGGACTGTTCTCAGAGATCACCAGATTTCCAGATAATTGAAAATTTTCAAAGATTAAAAAAATTTAATGCGATTTTAATTTTTTGAATTTTTAAAATTTTTCAAGGCTCCGAAAATTTTAACAAATTTAAATCGTACTCTTTTATATTTTTTAATGTTTTAATTTTTTAAAATTTTCTAAATTTTTAAACTATGTGGAAATCTGGTGATCTCTGAGAACAGTCCGATTTAAATTTTTTAAATTTTAAATTTTCGGAGGCTCCGAAAAATTTTAAGAAAATTCAAAAAATATAAATCGAAATATTTTATATTTTTTAAATTTTCTAAATTGTTCAAGGCTCCGAAAAACTTAAAAAATTTAAATTTTAAAAGTTAAATCGCAATCTTTTATATTTTAACTTTTTTAAACACTCTTTGCTCACCAACTCTGTTCTCTGCCACTCATGTATTGTTATATTGCCGCTTTTTGATGTCCCCTGTCACAATATGCATATTTAAAATGCTTGTCTGCCACGTTCTCACTTACAACTCTCATATCTTCTTCATCCTTAATGTCCTGTATCTTTATCATTCCACCCTTCACTTCTAAAATCTTCCACCTGATATTCACATTAAACTTTCCTTCCTTTTCATGTCTGTAAAGTCTGCGTATCAAAATCTCACCTGCTTCATATTTATCTTTCTTGCCTAGTCTCTTTCTGACTTCATTTGCCAGAGCTTGGCACCTGATGTTGGTATAAGCTATGTTGTTTTCACTCACCATAATATCAGTTGTAAACTTAAAATGCTTAGCTACCCAATCTGAAATCTTCATGTCTTTAATCATCTCATCTAATTTCTTCCTGTTCCTCTCACCTGCTTCAGTGTCTTTGCCCCCTACACTCTTATTATATTTAAATATTATGTCAATACAATTATCAACATAATCTTCAACATTCTGACAGTTAGTATAAGGCTCTATGCTTGGAAGTTGTTTGACATCACCTGCTCCAATGATAATTTTATTAGGATTCTTCAGGGTAAACTGCCTTATCTTGTTCAATATGAAAGGTGAAGACATATAGATTTCATCAAAGACTATTGCATCAAACCCTGAATAATCATACTTTGGTAGGCTGTTTGCTTTATCAATGCCAATGCCAAAGAACACATTCAATGTCACCGCTTCACATTCAATATCCTGTTTCAACATATTCTGAGGAACTATAAATAGAGTTTTGCAGCCCATCTTCTCCAGATGTTTGCCTACATAACACTTGCCACTTTCTGCATATTTGGCTCTAATCATCACCCTCTTCTTTCTGATTATGTGTTCACATATCTCTTATGTGTTCCGTTCCTCCTCTACTTCAATACTTTCATTTTTGTACGTCGGCATTTTTATCAACTCATTATGTTTCCATGCATACCAGCCAGAAGAAGATTTTACCCTCATCTTTTCAACTCTCCAGTTGCCAATCTCCCTTCCAAACTCTAGTATCTTCCTAGCCTTCTTTAAGTCTGTCTTGGCTATGTGTAGTGCATCAGTTTTTATAGCATATACTTTGATGCCCTTTTCTTTCAGCCTCTCCATTGCATCATACATACTGTAGTTATGATTTTGCAACAGCAGTTATTTAATATACCGAAACCCGTTCATCAACTGCTTCTG